TATAATATAATATTATATTTGGTTATATTATAATTATATTATATTATATTTGGTTATATTATATTATATTATATTATATTATATTATATTATATTATATTATATTATATTATATTATATTATATTATATTATATTATATTGTATTATATTATATGTGTTTGTTAAAAGAAACAAAGTGTAAAATAAAATAGAAGAGTTCATTATTGTACAAATTCAGGACCGGATAATATTATATTATATTATATTATATTATATTATATTATATTATATTATATTATATTATATTATATTATATTATATTATATTATATTATATTATATTATATTTTGTGATATTATATTATGTGTTTGTTAATGAAAACCTAAAGGACTGTAAAATTAAATTAAATTAAATTAAGGCTTTAATAATGTATAAATGGAGGACAGAAGAATGTAAAGCGGACAGTAATGCTCCAGTGTTTAGTGCTGCTCTTACTCAGAGTTTTTCTTTTGTTTCTAGTCCAAATATCTACAAATGTAGATATCAACAAGCATTTTCTAGACAAGTAGTAAGTATAGTGTTGTTTTTAGAAATAATGAGTGAAAATGAAGTGAGCTTGTCATTAAAACAAGCAGAATAATCTGACAATAAAGAAAGAGGAATAATCTTATGTAAAGAAGATAAACGTGTTTATTCTGCTTCTCATATTGTCAGAATATTATTTGCTTATTACTTGCATGAGTAGTAAGAGTGTGTTCTCAGTGTGTTGTACCTCTGAGCTCTCCAGGAACTGCAGGACGTCTGGATCTTTGAGCAGCGCCGGGTGTTTGACCGTCCTCATCAGATACCTGAAACACAGATTTTAGTATTATTAGTGTCAGCTTCAGTTCTGGATCAGACGTCCAGCGCTGACCTTCACCTCCATCAACACACACATAAAAAGGGCAGAGAAATGTCAGCGCCGCGCTTTCCTCTAATGTTTATTCGATTCATCAGTTGCTGCAAAACCTCCTGAGCTCACACATTAGTGTTTATCTAATATCTGTTGCTTAACCTTTAATCCACAGACGAGAAGAACACCAGTGAACTTTAACACACACACACACCGCTAAAATACAGGAAAAAACACACACACAGCTCTTAAATAATGGAGAGAAAACACACACACACACACACCCTCAAATACTGGAGAGAGAACACACACACTCACTCTCAAATACTGGAGAGAGAACACACACACTCACTCTCAAATACTGGAGAGAGAACACACACACTCACTCTCAAATACTGGAGATAACACACACACACACACCCCTGAAATACTGGAGAAAACGCACACACACACTGGTGTAATCCGTATATAC